CTTCTATATATTTTTTTCTTATTTTATTATTATTAAAGAATACTCAGTTCTTAAGCAAAATGAGGCTTTCAATGTAGAATATACTTTTTCTTTTCTTATTTTTTTTTTTTAGTTTCACAAAGTTGGATATGATCAGTTGGGATCACAGATTAACATTAATTTAAAAGCATTACCTGTTTTCATTACCATAAAATAACCGAGTTCTCTCTCCCCTCTTTCAAAATTGCCTATAATACAACATTTAGACAATCTGTAGCCTAATTTAAACTTAAAGAGACATTAATCTCTAATTCATTTTTTTTTTTTTTTTTAATAAAGAAAAATTAAAATTCAGTGACAGACCAAAAGGTTTAAACAGATATGTATATCTGCAAGGTCTGTTAGCGGGTGATAATATTTACATAAAACCAGTGGAGCTAGTAAGGGGGGTGAGGGGTGGGAGGTAATAAAACTGATGATCTACCACTTGATGGAGTAGCTTGTGACTTGTTGACCAGTAGTTCAGAATATAGCATGGAGACTCCTAAAAGGCAATAAAATAGAACCCTAGAGAACACAAATATTTGTTTTGAGCATCTTAGTGTAATCGTCTTTGTAATTTTTGCTTCAGTTAAAGAAACAAAATTTACAACAATACAACAGATTATGTTTCCCGTTAAGTTCACAAGTGACATTATATTTAGACAGTAATTGGTCAATCAATCCATATTTGCTAATTTCTACAAATTGATGTGACTGCTTATATCGATGCCATTTACACTGATCAGCCACAACATTAAAATCACCCACCTAATATCCTGTCGGTTCCACCCATGCTGCCAAAACAGACCTGATGCGTCGAGGCATGGACTCCACAGGACCTCTGAATGTGTCCTGTGTTATCTGGCACAAAGATATTAGCAGCATATCCTTTAAGTCCTGCAAGTTGCGAGGTGGGGTCTCCAAGAATCGGATTTGTTGCTTTAGCACATCCCACTGATGCTCAATTAGATTGAGATCAGTGGAACTTGGAAGCAAAGACAAAAACTTGAACTCTTTGTCATGTTCCTCAAACCATTCCTGAACAATTTTTGCAATGTGGCAGGGTACATTATCCTACTTAAGGAGGCAACTGCCATCAGTGAACACCATTCCATGAAGGTGTGTATATGGTCTGCAACAATCTCTAGGTAGGTGGTACATATCAAAGTAACATCCACATGAATGCCAGGACCCATGTTTTCTAGGCATGAGACTTCCTCCTCCAGTCTGCCGTCTGCCTTCTTCCCATACTGCATCCCGCTGCCATTTCTTCCACAGGCAAATAACGCACATGCATCTGGCTATCCACCAAATGTAAACAAAAATAGGAATCATAAGATCAGGCAAACTCCTTCCATTGCTACATAGTTCAGTTCTGATGCTCACGTCCCCATTGAAGGCACTTTTGGCGATGTGCAGAGGACATTTTAGGGACTCTGGGTGGTTTGAGGCTACCAGACCCATATCAATCAAACTCTGATGCACTGTATGTTCTGACACATTTCTATCATGACCAACATTACGTTTTTCACAAATTTGAGCTACAGTAGCTTTCCTGTGTGATCGGACCAGACAAAGATAGCCTTCCCTCCCCACATGCATCAATAAGTCTACATCATGATATTATATTTGCAGTTATAATACACTTGACTGGTGTATAGTCGCCATATGGGCAGTCGGAACCTTGGACAAAAAACCCCCACATACCTATCCCAATAACACGCTGACACTAGGGTATATGGGTCATAATTGTCCACAGATTTTATTAAACAAATATAATAATAACGATAATAAAATTTATAAAAATAACAATCATAATAATGATAATAATTTAACATATAAACATGGGTCATTGCCCCCATACTCCGCCCTCGCATCCGTATCCTTCTTTTAATATAAAAGGCAATGATCCCAACATAACTAACATATATATATATATATATATATATAAAAATTTTCAACCCTTACTCCAACATAACAAATTTAAGTGCCAACCATAAATAACCAAGGCAGGGGTATACCCGGATACCCCTACCCCACCAGGTTCTGAGCCACCTCCAGGACTCGAAACCTACCAACCACCAGTGACCACAATTTTCCATGTTCATCACATTCCTCATGGGAGCCTATTTCCTCTTCCTCAGCTCCCTATCCCGCCGCTGTGACAAAATGGGATAACTCCCATTTAACCAAATCCTAGGGAGGGTGGGTGGGACAAACTCGACCAGGTAGGAGATTAAATGTGCTCATTCCAAAATGGCTACCTATTTAAGTAGACAAACCCCTTTTCCCACAACCCACCAGCCCTAGCCGTCTCCTCCTAAGACCACCTCCTAACCCCTGTCAAGGCCCTTTTCCGCTAAGCTGTGCTTCGGCTACATGGGGCTACAGTGTGTGAGGGGAAAGGGGCAGGGGATCTCCTTACACCATGAAATTATATCTGTTGTTATAATATGCTGTGTGCGATGAGACAGGGGCAGGGAATCTCCTTACACCATTACATAATTTCAGCAGTTATAATACACTGTGTGCCAGGAGACAGGGAATATGCTGTGTGCAGTCAGACTACAGGATAGCTTATTATACCCATAACCTAGCTGCTTTTAGAATATGTCGTGTACAGTAAAATAATAACAGAGGCCGTCTTACATTATAAACTTTGCAGAAAGCATGAGTTTTGTTATAGTTCATTATACAATCCCTTTACATTCCAATCAACATATATTTTCTGAAGACATTGAAAGTAGTGCAAATAGCCCACGTGTATATTGAGATAACTAGAGAAAACCTGCCTATTAAAGTTTTAAAACAATTATAAAGACATCTAATAAAAACAACTCCTACATATTTCACACCATTGGAAACATAGACGAGTGTGTATCCATTAACTGATCTCTATTTGTGCAATTCAAGGATTGTTAGCTGCCGTTATATTAAATACACCCTATCTATTTAAGTTAAGAATCACACATTATCACTTCTTGTGGTTTAATGCCAGGAACGCTCCCTATCAGCATTACAATTTCACCAGAACATACACCAGTTAGACACTGAGCAGGACTAGAAGAATCTTGACAACTGAACTGTGCTGATGTTTCAAGCGACACAAGAAAGTCTGGAACAGAATTGCAGAATGGACGCAGTGATCATCCCAATGTTTTGCCGCTTTTTTTTTTTTTTTTTAACCCCCTCTCACCCCCCCCCCTTTTTTTTTTGTTGAGAGGTAACGTTCAACGATCATCATTTGTCATTTAAACTTAATGTAAAAAAATTGCTGTCAGTGGCTTGAGTTGGTGACACTCCCGGGGTAGTTTAACCTGTTTTGCATACTGTAAATTCTTACAATGCTCGGTGACAAGGTCTAATTAGTCTTTCGATCCTGTTTTCATAGTCAAGAGTCTTGAAAATTCTACTAAATTTCATTTAACTCTTTTTCTGCTGAAGGTCTTTCCCCCCCCACAATACAATTTTAAACCAACGAGCATGAAAAAAAACAAAATAGGAACTTTGTAAAACATAGATCTTAAATTTTCTATAATTTTCTATAATTATGTGACAATAAAAACACACTTTTTATTTCATACTTAAAAAGTCTGGGCACCATCCTAACCTTTTCCAACCATTTAACCTGGAAGTTAATGTCTTTGGTAAACAGGTGGGGGATATTTATCAATAGAAAAGGAAGGTCATCCTATCCTAATGTCCTCCTTGCCCACACTTGTGGTCAGGTGTGGGCCATAATTAGCATAATCAGAGGGAAGGCCTAATGTTCTCCCCTGATTATATCATTAAATGGGCAAAAATTCAGAGAGAAGGTCTCAAGAGAAACAAGACTTGCTGGTCAGAGCGTTCTGATTGGTTGGCTTACAAGATAATATAATTGCTTATGTAGGATGGGAAAGCCCTTATAATGGTGAGGACTGTGGAGGTAAACCATGTGCCCCACCCAAATATTTTGTTTAGGGCCGCCACCTGCAGCCTTGTCTTGGTCTCTAGTAGCCCAAATATGTTATTAATATACATGCTTTGTGAATCTTCAAACCTTATACTTTGTATAGGGTTTGAATCCGACAGCACTGATTTTAATATGAACATCGAATGCATCTAGGCAATAGCTGCATATGTTTCCGGGCCAACCGAATTCCGACCGTACTTGGCTTTAGTAAATATGAGAATTGCCATAGCGGCAAACTTTGTATATGTTGAACAGCAGATTTAAAAAAAATGTGCAAACTTGTATTTACAGATAGCATTAAACAGCATGATTAATAATAATTTGTGATTAGTGATACTTTTGCATTAAGCTAGACAACATTCTTGTTTCCTAATTTGTAGAGAAACAGGTAGCTTTTATTTTTTAAGGGGTCTTCTAATCTTATAGTAGTATAGTGTTTATATCTGTTATTTATTCCTCATTGTTTGTTTTATGCAGTTTGCACCATTTTATGGCCATTTTTATCTAATGATTCATATAATATTTAAGCAACTTTCCACTATAATGAAAATGTGACAAACATGCATTGCTGTCACTTTCTAGACTAGTCAAAGAGTTCAGTGTCTCTATTATGTTTGAAAAACAACTCATTAAAAAAACACTCCAAGCGGGGCGGAGCTTGGACATCCAGGCTAGCGGCCGCATGCCGTAGGAGCTCCTACTCAAGCTGACTATTTTCGGGGTAATACCCCTGTTTCCAGCCTGAATCTGTGCACTCCCACGCACATCTCTACCTGTGGGCCCGACGTGAACCATATCGATCACACACTCGAGACCCTGAGAAGCCAGGAGACCCCAGAGACAAGCCGCGGCCTGCAAGTGACTGGGCTGGGGGAAAAGTGGCCAATTTCCCCACTCTCCGGTTACTGAACAGAACAGCCTCATTCCTAACACCCCCCGGACCGGAGGGGTTATCCCGGTCCCAACTTGACTGCTTAAGCCACATTCAATGGACACTCACCTGCACGCAAATAGAGCCCTCAAAATGGAGGACGAGTATCCTCCAGTGGAGCTGACGTTAATACCGACTGGCAGTTTCTCCGTGGCACGCTCTCTGCAGAAATTGGACACAATCCTCACCAGGTTCTGGACTAAACTGGAAGCACGAGCAGCAGCTTCACCTCCCCAACAAGAGAGCACTGAACAGCAAGTCGACTCATGCAAATCCAGAAGGTCCCCTCAGAGCATTGAAGGCAAGCAAGCTCCTGACCTTACACCCATACACTCACTGAAGCCTGGGGTCACCCAGGGCTCAGCCCCACCACGTCCAGAACATCAGTGACAGCCCACTGTCCACACGATAGGGGCCCATCGCTACAGCCCATTTGGGAGGGACTTGGTTTCTTTGTATCACCAGGCCCATGAAAGGGAAGCACTAGCCACTGCACTGGCCCAGGCCGAGAGAGATATCCTCACTCAATGCCACCCCAACAGTCTAACCAGCAAAATTTATGTTGGCTCATTGGGCCGACCAAGTGTAGGAATCGGATGAAACACTGGCCACTAGACTCGGGTAGCCTGTCTATGATGGCCTGAGAAGCTGCCATTTTGTGCTAGATCACGCTGCTTATGATGACCTGCTGTCTCCTAGTTTTGTTATATTTTATTTTCTCTTATGTTGCGTGCTCTGTGTCTCACAGACTCTGATTGCTGTCCCTGCGAAAATTCAATCCTAGTCATATGTTTTATGAGCATATCATACTTTTGTTTGATAATTTAAAATATGTGCAAGTGGTTCTAATGTCATGATGTTTTCCTTCTGTTTATATCAATATAATGCACGTTTGCGCAGGATCACATTTCAGTTACTAGCCAGACTAGATACCTTACCAACAAATGCTTGAATTTAACCCGCCTACCCAGTTACCCAGCCAGAGCATATCATACTTTTGTTTTATAATTTAAAAAAAATATGTGCAGATGATTCTAATGCCATGATTGTTTCCTTCTGTTTAATTCTACTGTTCTTGCATTGGCTGTCATGGCAGCACAAGCATGTGTGTTATCTTGTGCCCATCAAAAATAAAGAATTTTAAAAAAACAAACAAAAAAACACTCCTAGCACTTATGGTACCAAAATTGCTAATAGTTTGACATCTGATCTGGGGTCCACCGGAAGCTGTTCTATGGAGCTTTTACTGAAATCCAGAAGCTCTTAGTCTGAGCAGGTAGTGCAGGAATTAGCTACTTGGCTGAGAGCAATCATCTGACATTGCAGTGCAAGACATATGACTAGAGTTAATAAAATCTTCTAGTAGGAGACACAGTCTCTCCATACAAGAAGAGGATAGGCAGGGACAAGTGCCACACTATCCTAGGTAAGAAGTCAAACCTTAAAGGGACAATACAATTCCAAAATACTAAATAAATACAAATCATTTGTTAGTAGATATACCCCAAATGAAAACTTGCATGCATTTAATTATGCATTTTTTCATTGGAGTTATATCTAAAATCAGCTTGTAAATCCTGCAGCTTCCTTGTCTGCAGCCTTTGCTAGCCCTTCTAACCTCACCCAGACTTTCTGTGTCCAGACTGCTGTCCAGTTCCCAATGCAGCTCAATGAGAAGTCTTTGCAAGGCAGGTGTAATTGCTACCATTTGATTTGAGCTCCACTGAGCTAAACACACCAGGAACTAACAGGCACTGCTGTCTGACTGAAATATGCAGTTTTTTGTAAAATGAAAAATACTTGTTCGCAAGCTAAAGGGCTTTAGCGGTCTGGAGTGTCATTGTAAGCAAATGGTTTGAGTATGTATATAGGGATGGAGTCCCAGGACAATCGTGACACCATAACAATCACAGTGTGTTGTAGTGGTTATGATTCTTAAAATATTCTACTTTGGAGAATTTGCAAAGATCCTCGACTGTGAAATGGCGACTGGGGGTCCTGTGGCGGGAGGGGTGTAGGCAAAGGTAGTTTTACTAACCTGAACTTGTCCCTCATGGGCACCACCATCCTCTTCCAACCAGTCCTCTCTGCTCCTGGCAGTACAGCTGCCAGGAACTTCAGTCACTGTTGTGTTTTCACGCATGTACCAGAGTACAGAATTGAGGTCTATGGAGGATCCTGTAAGATCATAAATAGATAGAGCTAATTTCCCTGCAGCCATCACTGGTGATGGCTGGGGGAAATGAGGCAGCTTGATGGCGTGGTTCCATTACAGCATACAACCAATAGATAGCGCTGTGCCACACAATGGTCCAGTGGATGTTTGTGGTTCCTTCACATCCTGAAAGGGTCAATAAATAAAATGTTATCTTGAGGCTAAACTGGTAAAAAAAAAAGCAAGATATCCCATGTCACTCTCATAGACATATTTTATTATCTGGCATAGTCAGCTTTAACACCTATAAAATAAAGAAGGTTTAGTTGAGCAAGATAGGCATGTTTAATTATATAAAAGTCTTTAGTTTAAGTTCTGTATGATTTCTTCCGTCTACAAACTCAGTTGTGTTTTCATTTTTTCTCCTCATTAATTTCAGGGATTACAGTCAGATTCACCATGTCATCTCCGAGGTCACAGTTAAAACATCTCCCGGCTTTATCTTACAGGTTGCAAAGAGACACAAGTATAAACAGGCCTAGTTAATCCATTTCTTAGGCAGAAATGTGATATGTTGTGTTTAGACATCACATCTTCAGCATGGAAACTGGAAATACTAAACAACTGTTATGAATCTGGATAAAATAAGAACACTACTAATAAATACCATATTATTCCATGTTAAGATATTTAATTAATCATATAACCAGAAGTTACGCTTTATATAGTTTATAGATTTTGTTTCCCATCATGCACGAGCGGCCGCTCCTTCCTGATTTATTGTCGATATGGTTAATAATTCTTAGCCTTTGGGCCTTGTACTATAATTGGGGCATGAAGCAGTAGATAAGGAGGTTAAAGGGACACAATAGTCACCAAATTTAATGGGTTGTGGGATAACTGTTAAAATAAATGGGCTAAAATCTAAAAAGCCAAATTGGGAACAGTGACGTTTCTATGAGACAATCCAACATTGTAGTAATAATGAGAAACATGAAGAACCAGGTGGTTCATAAGAGTAGTGACCAGGACCTTGAGGAGTCAGGAGTGCCCCTCATTCACTTATAAAATGTCAACATATATTTTAAGCCTTGGAGAGCAGAGAATGTTGAAAAGTATGATTATACGGCAAGCTTAAGAACCCATTATTGAGGCCAATGTCCAGATTAAGGAAGAAATGTGTAGATTTAGAAAATTCTGTCGCCTAGTTGTGTCATAATGTTGACACTTTTGTGATGATCATCAACTTTTAAACTCTTTCTGTTGAGAGATTATAAGGCTTTCTACCATGATGTGATGTTGTTTGTGTAAACTTTCTGATTAGGAGTGACATAATCACCCAACACACACAACCCCGAGCTGAATATTATTGGTGACAATGCGAAGAATGGCCCAAAAATCAAGTGATAACTAAGGATGGGTTATACTTCTAAGCAAAGAAAGCACAACATATAAAAATAGACCTTTATGACTTTCTACAAAAAGAATACATAGAAAACCTGCAGTTGGTGTCATTTGTGGGTGTACGGGTGCAATGGGTGTTGTTTATTGCAATACAGAGAAATAAATAACGTTAATCAATTCTTTTAAATTATTGATCAATCTACAGTAAATAGTCACTCAATTTTAATGCAATATGAAATGAAGGACAAAATAGCCGCGTCTTAAATGTAGATGAGCTGGGTCATTTTTCCAATTCAGCTATTTTGCTAATTCAATTTCATTTTAGCATATTTTACTATTTAGTATGTAAACACTCTTGAAATAAATGTACTTTATAAAGAATTTGGGTGACAGCTTTGCAAAACTAGACACACAGGAGACATTATTATAAGTGAATGAATGTTATTGTATCTATCTATCTATCTATCAATCTGTCTGTCTATCTGTCTGTCTGTCTTTCAGAACTTGTTTCTCTATTAAATTTAGATGATTATAATGATGTTTTAGAACTCCCATGATGCTTTGCATGCCTCTAGAATGCCTTTAGAATGTCAAAGCATCATGGAAGTTGTAGTTTGGGGTCTACCTTTTGGGCAGCTCTGCTGTAGATGACAGAGATAGATAGATAGATAGATAGATAGATAGATAGATAGATAGATAGATAGATAGATAGATAGATAGATAGATAGATAGATAGATAGATAGGTAAATGGATAACACAATGATAACATTGATTTATATTATATAAATATTGATATTGAAATACTGCATTTAAATACATTTTACTAAGCACAATTTATGTTTTTCCAAGGTTTTTACTAACAAGGTGCTGTAATTTGGGCTTATACAAGTTGGTTTATTATAGGAAAACCCTTTTTTCTGTCTGCATTCCAAGGCTGAAAAGAAGAATAGGATGGGATTAGAGCCAGACTCTGATGAGTTGATGTAGTCTGTCAGCAAACCCTCAGGTAACAATATTACATTTTATAAATCCGATCAACAATAGGACAGTAGTTAAAGACGTGATTTTCCCATTGCTACAGTGGAGACACTTTAAGCAAACGAAGATCTCCTAAGCTGGAACAGCGGCTATATGTTTAAAAACAAAGAATTAAACTTTACGAAATGAAACACAGGAAGTCGAGGTTCCATGACTTTGGCAGCTGTTCCAACCTGCATCCCGCTTATAGTGATTTTACAAGGACAGTTTGCCGCCAGGACAGTCAACAAGTCATTAAAGTCTTTAATGTCCAGACTAGTATTCTTCAAACGAGATACAAGGAGGAGGCTTAGCATCATCTCCTCTATTTTCTTTTCTCGTTTTGATCTGATGTGATTTTTGTTTTCAGGTGGTTGTGTAAAAGAAACGCCACAGTGCTTTGTTGGAAAAACACATTGTGCAACATTCCTATACATGCTTGTTTTAATCTGTTCTTCTTAAAGGGACACTCAGGCTTAAAACCCAACCTGCCTGCCAAACATCTTTTATGCCCAGAAAGACATAAACATGCACATTTTTTTGCATATGAAAAATGAGAAACAATTTGTGCCTTTTGTGTACAGAATTATCTAAGTTTTCTTTTAATGTAAGTATTAATATTGTATCACAGCATCCTAATTCCCTCACTTCAAACTATGTATTTTTTTATTTTTTTTTAACACTGCAAGATGAAATTTTTTGCTCCCTTTCCTACATTCAACATAAAATAAATTGTATTTTCCCATGCTACATATCGTATCACTGGCTAGTAGGTGGAAGCTAATAATTAAAAAAAAAAAATTGGAAAAACAT